CAACGCTAAATACAATCTGTCTCCTACTCACTGTAATAACGTGCAAATGACTGTAATTTTGCAGACAAGAAACAGCCCAAAGTGAAACGTGTCTAAACAGAGGTCGATTTGAAAAATCAGGGCTATTACCTAAATCTGTAAAATACATATTGTAATAAAACCAGCAACAGCAATCTCCAATAAGTAGTTTTTAAAAATTGTAGCTTGTGTTTTGATCTTCTTTATGCACCGGGTCTCCACTGGCATAAAAGAAAAACCCCTTTCCAGAAATGGTTTCCTTACATCTGATGTAAATTGCCTTACTTTGCTAACCGATCTGCAGACCTTACTTGGGCACTGGTTCAGATATAGTAGCGCACACCACACCACACGATCCCGGGCCAAGCAGAGGTAAGATTTCAGACACTTAACACTGACCTACATTGCAGTTCCCTCCATGTGAGCAGTATGCAAATGTTTTTCTTTAGAAGAACGTGCTGTTTTACGATATCTTGCCAGGTTCTCTAGAACTGCAAGGCATAAAAGGGACAAGATTTGCTACTTTGTCTTTGCGATTATTTTTATTATTTAAATTTTTTTTTCCTTTTGGATATTTTTAGGTTGAGAATTGGGAGAAGGAATGGGGAAATACATACACATGTAGGACAAGCACCTCATTCTTAAACTTTATATTTCTTTATTATTAAAATACAATGTGGTCTTAAATCAGACCATGAAAAAATTTGCTTTGTCATTTGAATTTGTTTAAGCTAAAATATATAGTGAAAATTTGTCAAGACAGCCATTATTCTGCTTCCCATGGAAGATTTCTTTGTCATACTCTTAAGTTTATTTTTGTTTATTTTTTTCATTTTTAAAAATTTATCTTTATTTATTTATGCATACAAGAACTGGAGTGTAGGCCAGAGGTACAGGGAGAGGGTGTGAGAGTATTCACCAGAGACAGAGTGGGGAGCAGAACAGGGGGATCTACTGAAATACACTGCCGAGGGAGCAATAGGCAAGACAGGAGAGGTCTGCTGCGCCATGAGGGTGAGCTTCCTGGCTGGGGATCGAACTCATGCTGCAGTGGCTGGTGATAGCTTGAGAGCACTGAGACTTTAACTAACCCTGCGCCAGCACGGAGGCCCCATACTCTTATGTTGAAATTGAAGATGAACTACTGGGCATAGAGGTGATCTGAAAAGTTAACACAGCCGTGTTATGCAATGTGTATAAATGTCTATATTCACAGAATAGGTCTGGGAGTGTTCACGAGTCTTCCGTGGCACAGTGGACAGCGTCAGTGTCACATCTTTTCTTCCCTACTACCTCCCCGCTGGGAAGGACCTGGAATGTTTCAATGTGCAAGTTCCTCTCTTTATACCATGGGACACCTGCTTCCTGGTTTGGTCCAATGATATTTCAGGATATGCAAACATATCCAGTGTTTAACCAAGAACAGTCGTTCTTGTAACAGTTGTCTAGAGATGCATATTGTTAAAAATACTCCACCGAAACTTGAATTAATATGTGTGGCAAGCCAGAACAGAGTGTTTTCTCCAGAAGACCTTCTATATGTAGGAAGTTAGGATGGTCCCTGTAGTTAAACAACCTTTTAGTGTTTGTGTAGGTGTTTAATAAATCACCAACTCTGCATTCCCTAGAAACCAGGGCAGGTCACCTGCCCACTGCCTTGAGGCAGGTCCGCTCATAAGCAATCCCAGACAAGAATCATTCTCCACAGTCTTCTTGGATGGCCAGGAAGTTTCTCATTATGTCTAAATTAAGTTCCTTTTCCCACAAATCAAACCCATTTCCAGGTGGTTTTATTTTTTTTACAACTTTGCTTTCCCCGTCTTTCTCTTGGTCTTGGCCTTCTCTTGGTAGCTATCAAGTGTTAATATTTGGCATAGATGTAGATCAACTTGGCCCAGGTGTAGTCCGTTCCAAAAAAACAAAAGCCCGGGAAATTCTGATTCTTAAAAATATAGCACAGATCAGAGCGACTAGGCAGTGAAGAAAGGTCACTGTGTTTTCCTGTGTTACACAGCTTAATGCTCCTGCCTGCCTCAGCATCAAGCTCTCCTACACTTAAAAAGCAGAAAAAGTCCTGTGCCAGGACCTTCTGGTCACCTTGCGGTGCTTGCAGACCTTGCAGGGGCAGAGCTGCTGCTGGTGGTTATTGGAGATGTGATGATATTCTTTAATTGTTCCTTCATACTCTCCTCAAGCTCCTCCCACCCTGCTATTCTTCTTAGACTCACTTCCCACTACTGCCCTTCTCATGACACATGCACTAAACTATAAAATTTCAAAGTGCACATATTATGCAGACATGTAGTGGTATTCTCAAATGCATACAAGATCGGTTAGCTTAATAAGAGAGAAAGATAAAATTTTCTTCTCTACAACATAGTAGCACTTCCAAATTTTGTGATAAGAGTAGCTCTGATTCTCTAAGCTGTTAGTTAATTATCTTAGTTTCAGTCATCAATTAGCTGATAGCCCTGTGATGTCTCTTGATTGGCCCCTTTGTTAAACAAAACAAAACAAACACTCGCAAAGCCAGCATAACAACTCTGGTTTATTCAAGTCTTCTGGAAGAACTGGGAGGGCTAGAGATGGGGGGAGGGTGTAAATGGAGTGTGGAAATGTTGGAAAGAAAGAAGAAATATTTTAATCTATGAGAAAGCATTAGGTTAGGGTTTGAGTTAAATATGTGATTGAGTTCAGCATAAGCCTTTTATCATTCACCAGTAGGGTTTATCAAAAAGCTTTTAGAGGGTTAGTATTGAAGGTAGGGATTGGAGCATTTTATTTGAGTATTGGGAACCCTAAACTTAGTTACCCTCAATCTGTGCTGCACACCCTGTGATTTGCTTTTGCAAAGGAGTGTCTTGGAGGAGTGCCTCTATCCTTCTCCAACTTTACCAGGTCTTACTGTCTTTGCCTTTTGAAATCCTGTTGTTTATAAATTTATAAATTTATGCTGTTCTTTTTTTTTTAATCAATGGGACATAGCCAGATTGTGAAATCTGTACATTCAAAAATATGAAACAAACACCGAAATTAAAATGGAGGTAAGTGGTGACTTGATTCATTTTACTTGTTAATGTGCAGCTTTAATTTGAATACACATTGACTTTGGAAGATAAAAGGACTATCAAAGATCAAATTCCTCAGTGTTTATATCCCAGGAAAGGGAAGGATAGAAACGGTTGTTGATTACTATTTGCAGCATCATACCTAGTCCACCTAGACTAGTAGAACAACTAATTGGCAGGTCTTTAAAATGAACCAAACATATTGAAAGCTCAAATATGAGTCAATAGCCATTACTTAAAACATGTGACTTAAAGATTTTTATTGATCAGCGTAATCATCACTGACTCTCTGCGTCATCAACTATCTTCTAGCTCTGATTCACTTTACATGTCCATTGGACTCAGTAAAGATATTTTCTTAAATTGCAGCTGGCCTGTGGAAATTACAATTCACATGTAATTCTGGATCCTTAGTTCAGTGTAAAATTTTCAGTGTACTCTGTGGCTTTAAATTCTCTATATTATAGCTCCTAAAAAAGGAAAATAACAGTGAAAAATTAAAGATAAAGTACTGCAAATGCTTAGTGCATCTAAATACATTAGTTTAAATATACTGGCTGTTACAGAACTTGTTATTTCATATTAACCTCTCTTATCCTGTGACCTCAGGGTCCCATTAATTTGGTTGTTGGCTTTTTTCCTACAATCAGTTCTAAAATATTTCTGTATTCTTGGTGGATTTTGAGGTGTATGTTCAGAAGACTTGGACAGCCCCTCTCTCCAAAACAGCGCTAAAGATCTGAGGGAGGAGAATTTCATAAACTCTCGGTTTAAAAACGCGGATTGGGACTGTTTAATGGGTTAATTGTCCCAGTATATCTGTCTCCCACAAATCGATTTTCTTCTTCTTCTTCTTTTTTTTTTTTCCACATGAGGCTGGTCCGAGGTGTTAATATGCTTGGCTAGGACCATATTTTATTTTTTATTTTTTTGGAGCCGCCTAGCACCAGGTGGAAAAGATTTGTTACTAATACCAGGGAAGAAGCGTTCGCGGAGTGGTGGTTAAATGGTTGCCAGCGTTCACACTTCAGTGCTTTAGACCAGGAGCCTGGAAACAAAAGGGTTACTTGTTTCCCCACCACCGCCTTTACCCCCAGATCGATTTTTCTTATTTAATCAGCGAGTAAAAAGAGAGACACAGGGAAGGGGAAAAAAAAAAAAAAAAAATTGGAAGAAGGGCAAAGTGGTGGGGGAGGGCCGAGAAAGCCAGAGGCTGCAATACAGAAAATCAGTCTTGGGAGTTCGCGCTGTCGAGTTCCTGCAACGAGGAAGGCGAGCCAGCAAAAGACTCGCAGTCATTTCCACCCCGCCAGCCTCCCTTTTCTCCGCGCTCCGCGCTAGTGGCTCATTTGGCTTCCTCTGCCACCGAGCGATCACAGACATTATTTCCCCCAAGATAACACAATCAAACTCGTATTTACTGACATCCTCTCCTCGTAGCCTGTTTGAGATCTGTTTTAATAAATAAGTGTTTTATGTGAATGATGTAGTAATTGGAACGGGCGCACCATTTTTTTTTCCTCTCCCCCCTGCTTACTGCGGGAGGTTCCCCAACCCCAATCTGGTTGGAAAATAAAACGCTTTGTCTCCAGAACCACCCCCCGCCGCACCCCCACCCGATCTCAGTGTGTGTTTTATACGTGTGTGTATCTCAGCCCCCTACAGTAGCCAAGAGAAAGCAGCTGGCCAATGAGAGCGCCCGGTTTCATAAAAGCTGCGCTCTGATTGGCCCGATGCGAAAGGGCACTGGGAACAAAGAAAAGTCCCTTTCAGGTATAGAGGCTGAGAGCTCCTTTTGCTCCACTCCCCCTGTGTGTGTGTTGTGTTTCAGTCCTGATTTCAGTGTTGCAGAACAAGCTTGTTGTGTGTGTGCACCAGGGGGATTTTTGTTTGTTGTTTTTTTTTTTATTTTAATTTTTGCTTTTATAAAAAATACACAGGACGGTCTGTGACATTTGATGGTCCATCTTCTTTAATAATAAATTGGTTGAAGAGACTGTAATTTCCAAAATAAAGCGGCTGCAACCAAACACATTCAATGCAGTTAGAAGGAAAAGGTCAACTCGATCCAATACAGACCGTAAGTACGGTTGCGTGGTGTGTCTCTATATAGCACTTAGCGGGGACTTCATGCAGGGGAATGTGCGACTTTTATGCATTGAAATGAGGAACTAGTTCTACAGGGTTTGGCTTTTGCATTGAGAACAACAACCCAAGAAGGGTGAATTTTATTCAGTGGAGGGTGAAGCATTTGTAACTTCTTCACACAAATTAAGCTTGACTGGGCACTCGGGGTAACTTAGAATAAATTACCTTTTGGGCTCTAACCCAAGGAGAATAAAAGTGACACAGTTACATATCCTGATCTGTTCCATGCTCTACTCACCTCACTTCCTCCCTTTCCTATCCTAGATGGGCAAGACCCTTTTCCAAACCGAGCCAGGAAAATGGGGCAAGAGCAGAGCAAGCCGATTCCTGGCTCTTGTCACATGCTAGCGCCCACCAATTTAATACTGAACAGGGGGATAGTCACCCATTACATGTAATGGTTATAATGACCCTTTTCCACCTCCTGAAAAAAGCAAGCAGCAAAAACACCATTAAGAGAAGGGGTGTGTGTGGGGGGGAAGCCCCACCCAACCCAAACAAACCCACAAATAGTAACAATGGTGTGTTTATTACAGGACCTGGCTTGGGAACTAACAAAATGTTTTTCTTTGTTTAAGACATGAGGGGGGTCCCTAAAACCCAAGCAGCGGAGGTGCCCTCCTCGTCCCCAAGGTGCCCCCGTCCCTGGCCCCTTGGGAAAGCCGACAAATTGGAGATAAGTTGAGGAAAGGTTTATAAGGTGTTTCTTTAAAACATCTGCTTTGCTCTTGTGCTCATTACATTTCACTCCTTGCGAACTTCCGAGATCCTAGATCTGCGAGAAATGTTTCACATTCATAACTTGTGGCTGCGCCCCCCGCCGGGTGGGGTGGGGGGTGAGCCGGGGGCGCGGGCGGAGGGAGTGTGTGCAGGGGGAGGGGAGAGACCTTCAGCTTTTTTTTTTTTTTTTTTTAAAGACCAGATCAGTATTTTCTTGATACGCTTGTCACCATTTTTGTTCTCACGACAACCAATTGAGCCCTTGATCCTCACGTGATGTGAAAGGCTTGCACTGTAACAAAATCGCTCCTTTTAGATGGTTGGTTGTTGCTAACTCGCCCTTCCCCCCTCCCAGCCCCGACATTTCCAGCAAAGCGACTCTCCACTTCCAATCCATCAACAATTCATTACTGCTTTTAGCTTCCAAACGCCAGCTAATTAAAAATACTAAGCCAAGCTCCGGGGCCATCTGACTAAACACAGGAGGGGGGTGGGCCGGAGAGGAGGCGAGAAAAAATAAATAAAAGGGAGACGCACCGTTTGCTGCTGCGCCTATACATGGGGAAAACTGTCCTGGAAAAAGGTCGCCTTTAGGGGAAAAAAAAAAAAAAAAGATTTTTTTTTTTTTTGCCTCTAATTATCGAATTACCACATGACTGATTGGCTTGAGCGACAGCGGATTTTTCCCCCTCGGGGACCAGACTAGGAAGTCGAATCCTTTTTCTTAAAAAAAAAAGAAATAAATAAATAAAAACCAACAGGAAAACATCACATCCTCGAGGTTTGGAAGACTGAACCCAGTTTAAACGCCGTTATTCTCCCCGCCCGAGCGAGAGCTGTTAGGAGCGGCGGCCCCGCGCCCCCAGCCCCTGCGCCCCTCCCCCGCGCACCTTCCTTTCTCCCCGCGAGCTCGGCTCCTCTCCCCACCCTGTGCCTCCCCCCGCCTTTCCTCTCAAGTTAGTTCAAGAAATCAAATCTGTCAGGACGGGCGGAAAAATGCCACTTCCCGACTAACAGGCGGAATCCAGCCCAGATTTTCAGTCCTTTCTTCTTATTCTTTCTTCCCTTTCACTAATTTATCCCGATGTTAGCACATTCTGTCTTGTTACTAGCGGGCGCCTGTAGGTTTGCTACATGGGATCATTACTTACTGCTCACGGTGACTCTCAAGTCTGGAACTGAAGGCGGAATGAGAAGTTGGGAAAACTTTTTTCTCTAAACTCTTTTTTTTTTTTTTTTTAAAAAAAAAAAACCCTATTATTCTCGATGCTTGTTAAGAGGAAAAAAAAACCTTTGGTACTTCTGTTGTGAATGTGAAACATTATCTTCCAGCTGTACAGTGACACATTTTTTTTTTTTTTTTAAGGAAAAAGGACTCCTGATCCGTTTGCCAAAAGGGGGGTGGGGAGTAGAATAATGTTATCGAGTGATTATTCTGGCTGAGATGTGTTATTTGGTTTCTTCCTTCTTGATCATTTGGTGTTTAAGTAAAATGAGGCACAGGCTTGTTTGCCGAGTGGAGTGGGAAAGGCATTTTGATTTGCTGGCCTAATTAAAAAATGATAAAGGATTAAAGGTAAGCAATGTCTGTGTGTGTGTGTGTGTGTATGTATATTTATTTATTTTTCTTGACAATCAACTGTTAAAAAGGGGCTGATCCCTTTAAAAACCGTTTTAACTGATCTTTGTCAAACACACACTCATTTGCGGTCATTGAGGCCACCTTGGCGCAGATCACTTAAAGTGTATGTCTTAATCAGTTTCCCGTACAGTCAGTAGCACCATATTTAACAGATTGAGCAAGTCTGTGACCTAGGGATACGGTAGAATTGTTTAGGTGTAATTTTTTTTTTCCAAAGGCAGCTATTTAACCTTTTATTTAACACTGTCTTTTCTGTAGAGAAATGCTCTTAAAGACATGTGTGTGTATATTTAAAGCAACTGTACAAACTGTTCAGAAAGAGAGGATGTGGGGGGGGGGTTCAATGTATGGGGGGGATGTTATTGGTGGTGGTTTTTGTGTTTTTGTTTTTTTTTTTTTCCCCTGTTCCTTACTGGGAACAAAAACCAGATCGCCCAGACAATTTGTAAAAAGAAGTTCGTAAAATTAGAAATAAGGAAAATTTAGCAGCATCTTTCTGAAACTAGCTTCAGACAACTTCCAGAGTCTGGTCTTTTAAATTGCAAGATCTAGGAAATGTTTAGGGATGTTGAAAGCCGTGTGTCTCCCTCTTGTCTGAGTGTGCAGGCTGTGTTTTCTGGGGTTGATATAGTATCTACATGTATAGACTAGAAAAAATCCTAAACTCTCTCTCTCTCTCTCTCTTTTTTTTTTTAACCTTTCTGGACTTGACTCAGATCCTTAAGATATTTTAATGCCTTTAAAAAAGTGATTATCCTTGTATTGTTGATAAAGGGATTTTCTTTTTTAGCTACTGTAAGATGCTTACTGTTGTAGGTATGTTTTGGGGGGTTGGTTATTTTCCTTTAAAACTGATATTGGACTGTGGAGACAATACATGAGCCACCTTACTCTCCATCCTTCCCTGTACCCCTTACTGACTCCCCAGTAATAATCGTTTTTTATTCTGGTAACACCCAGACAAGAAATATTCGACTTTTCCCCCCTTCACAGGAAAAGGTGGACCTGGACTGAAGGGTGTAAAATCCCTGGACACATTCCTGGGGCAGGAAAAAGAAGAGGAAGATTACAAGATTTTTTTTTTTTTTTTTTTTTTTTAAGAGAAAGCCCAGCGGAGCTAAACGAATGTCCCCTCATCTCCAAAGGAAAGTTCATCGGATTTTTATTCTAGAGAGCTCATCTTCAGGATGTCAGTGAACATTTCTACGGCAGGAAAAGGTGTGGATCCAAATACGGTTGATACTTATGACAGTGGCGATGATTGGGAAATCGGGGTTGGAAATTTAATAATTGATTTGGACGCTGATTTGGAGAAGGACAGACAGAAATTTGAGATGAATAATTCCACCAACACCACTAGCAGCAGCAACTCTAAGGATTGTGGAGGTCTGGCCTCCAGTGGGGCCGGTGCTACCGCAGCCTTAGCTGATGGCCTAAAATTTGCTTCTGTTCAGCCCTCTGCTCCCCAGGGGAATTCACACAAAGAGACCAGCAAATCAAAAGTGAAAAGGAGTAAAACTTCTAAGGATGCTAATAAATCTCTGCCTTCGGCTGCCTTGTATGGGATTCCCGAGATCAGCAGCACTGGCAAGAGGCAGGAAGTCCAAGGGCGCCCTGGAGAGGCAACTGGCATGAATTCAGCGCTGGGTCAAAGTGTGAGCAGCGGCGGCGGCGGGAACCCAAACAGCAACAGTACCGGCACCAGCACCGCCGCCGCCGCCGCGGGGGCGGCCTCCTGTGGGAAAAGCAAGGAGGAGAAGCCAGGTAAAAGCCAGAGCAGCCGCGGCGCCAAGCGGGATAAGGATGCGGGGAAATCCAGGAAGGACAAGCACGACCTGCTTCAGGGCCACCAGAATGGCAGTGGCGGCCAGGCCCCTCCCGGGGGGCACCTCTATGGCTTTGGGGCCAAGAGCAATGGAGGTGGCGCCAGCCCCTTCCACTGTGGGGGCGCTGGGAGTGGCAGCGTGGCGGCTGCAGGGGAAGTTAGCAAAAGTGCCCCGGATTCAGGGCTCATGGGAAACTCTATGTTGGTAAAGAAGGAAGAGGAGGAGGAGGAGAGCCACAGGCGAATCAAGAAACTGAAAACGGAGAAGGTAGGATCAAGTCGCCTTCCTAGATCTCCCACTTTCCTCCCTGTGTGCATCTCTCTGTGTGGGTGCGGGGGGGTGTGCCTCTGTGTGCCTTCCCCTCTAACGTGCTTTCTGGGTCTTTGTGAGATTGCTGTTATCTGCAGCCTTTACGTGATGCCTGGTGTGGGCTTGCTGACTTGGGCGCAGTGTTTAGCTCTTGCTGCTGCTGCTGCTGCTGCTGCTTGCGGTGCTCGCGTCTGGGACCCCAGGCGGGAGGGCCTGAGTGTCCTAAGCACTTTTGCTCCGCCGGGGCCCCTGGCCAGTCAGCCCCGGGCGGGTGTGCTTTTAATAGAAAAGCCGTTCACGCACCCACTTGACTCTTGTCCTGGTTTCTCCCCTAAGGAAAAGTGTCTTCTGTTTTAATTTGCACATCCTGGTATTTCTGGTAATGTGTCCTTAGGCGCTGGGTTCACGTGCCCTCCCGGGAGAGGTGTGTCGAGGATTCTAATTTACACTCTCCACCCTCAAGCCATTTACGTGTTCATTGTTACTTTCTCCAAAATAGTTCTGGCAAACGGTCCCCTCCTTGAACGGGTTCCCGTGACTGGTCCTGAATTCACCCCCCACCCGATGCCCCTGGGTCGTTGGCTTTGTGAATGTACAGAAAGCCGAGAAGGGCGTGGGTGACTGCCCTGACTCTACTCTTGTTCCCTGGTCCAGCTCTTAGCTGGAAATTTAAGAGGGTTATCGCTTGCATTTCTAGCTCGAGGACGGAGCTGAGAGGTTGGTAAGAAAAGTGACTCAGGCTTGGTGAATTGGCGTGCCTGACCTGTGAAAACGCAGCCAAGAGGTGATACCGGCATTCTGGGTTGGCTTTGAGCAATGGGACGGCTGATCTAGGTCATTTGGATCCTTCCATCTTGGGCATTATCTGCAGTCTAGTTAAGCACTGCCTTTGAAAAACTGCCCCCAGCGTTGTGCTTGTGGCTTGGTGCTGGAGGCCTGTGACTCCCTGGTCGGGCGGTTCGCTGTGCACCGGGTCAGGTCCTAGGAGCGAAAGGTGCTCTGTCCCACCGCGCAGGTTGCCAGCGAGCTGGGAGTGTGAGTGATGTTTCTCTCCAGTGATTCCTTAGGTTAATTTTACAGGGTGTGCCCTGCAGAAGCAAAATTCCTTTCATGTGGTTCGTGGCATGGTTATTTGGTAATATACTAATGAAATCATGTGATTGTTGCGATTTCTAACTTGAACTCAGTATTGTGAGATATCTTCGGGTGATTATTTTTGTGCACGGTTATTCGCTGCTCTCTCTTAAAAACATCTGCTTTTTTGTTTTCGTGTGTTCAAGTGTTAAGGTGGAGTACAGGGATGAAGTTTTATTTTATGATTTTAGAGGTTGGTGAAGGTACATGAAGGGGTTGATCATGCCAGAGTCGCAAAAAAGCCTCTGAACGCTTTTGATTCATTTCCCCCTGGTCAGACAGCATTTCACACGGATGAGTTGCAGTGAGTTTTTAAAAATCCCAGGTTTCGATTATGTTTAAATGTGTAGTTTCACATCATTTCTGCTAAAAGGCGTTCTGAAATCTTCTCATTACTGAGTACAGTAGGGCATTTACTTTTGTTGCCAATAGTCTTCAAATTGCAGTTCTAATCTGCTCTAACTATCTAGATGAATTGCCCTAATCCAGTGCTCACAATGGCTGTGGTTAAGGAGTCAGAGCCATTTGATTGGATTCACTGCTGCCTGGAATGTGGGAGGTACTGCCCTTTTGCATTCCCCTTAGCCTTTTAATCTTCCAGCCAAATGTTCACATTCAACAATTTTGTTTAGCTGGCAATCGGAACATTTCTGTATCTCAAAGGCTGCTGTCATGGCAACTGAGATTAGAGCGTGGTGTCGGTTCTCCAGTTTTTGTGTTCTTTTCACTTCCCAGTCACAGAGGGGACTGGAGGAAGAAGGGAAGAATTCAGTGATTCATAGACATGTACCTCATCTTCAGTCAAAGCAGTAGAAACGTGATCATATGAAATTCTATAAATGAAGAGCAAACAAGTCCTGAGGGGTCTGGGGTGGAGGAGGGGAGGAAGCTCAGTGCATTTGGATTCACTCCCAATGCCAGC